TTAAGGCATAAAACAGATTGGACAGTAGATTTTTTACTGTTGTCATAAAAGTGAAATGCTGGGTAATGAGACAGTGAAGAACAAGTGTGCTTCTGATAAGATAGACTAATAACGAGAGAAGGACTATCTAATAGTTGTGTTCGTTTGTTTTTTTTTTTTTAAATCTCAGGGGAGCTCTGGTGGCCTAGTGGTAAGGAGCTGCAACTACAATCCCAGAGGTACACAGTTCGAATCCACCAGATGCTCTGCCGGGGAAGGAGGGACAATCTCCTCCTGTACCAGTCAGATCTGATTTGACGGTACAATCACACAAAAATAAAAAAAAAATTTAAAAAAATCTCAGACTTTCTTGGAGATTGGCCTTAGGTTTTATAAGTGACTATCCTGGAAAAAAGGATATTACTGGTTCAGGTTTATAATGTTTGGCAACAGACTTTCTGTAGGCAGATCATTAGCTGGTCTCATACACAACTGTAGTTAAGATGATAGCAAATTCTATGAACTCATTAAAATTCAATATTATTCACTGGGTTGCATTCTAAGGAGCCCTGGAGGTTCAGTGGGGTCAAGGGCTTGGCTACTAAGGTCTGTGGTTCAAATCCAGATTTAATTATCACCTGCTAGTATATTAAAGGACACCCTATTGTCTAGATATAGAATTGTATGAGTATTCGTTAAACGGGGAGCTCTGGTGGCCTAGTGGCAAGAAGCTGCACTGCAATCCCCGAGGAACACGGTTCGAATCCACCATGTGCTCTGCCGGAGAAGGAGGCGCAATATCCTCCTGTACCAGTCAGATCTGATTTGACGGTACACGCACACAAAATAATGAAAAATTTAAAAAAAAAAAAAAAAGAAATGTATGAGTATTCGTTAATGAAAATGTCAATAAATCTGTTTTCAATTTCAGTTGTTTCCCTGCTTTTCCTTCCCACCTGAGAGATTGATACAAATCCTTTGCCTGTCTGCTGTCTCAGAGGTTAAAAAAAACCAAAACAAACCCCACAATGATAATCCTTGGGTCATCCCTCTTTGAATTACAATATCCTTCTACCTCACTTTTTTACATTTCCAGTCACTGGTAGACTAACCTCACTTTATAATGTAAAATCCAAAACAGAAGAACTTGTTTTTCTTTTTCCTGAGTAAGTATTTACTCCTTTTCCTTATAATACCTCAATTACACAAAAGCCAACTATGACCCCTTACATATTTTATCACGCCTACTTTTACGTTTCAACCAGAGACAGTAGAATCTGAACCAACAGCAGGGAGAGGACACTAATAAGAATAAAGCAAACCATTCTGCTCTCCTGTTTGTCCCTAGGCCTGATAGGTAAGGAGGCTGAAACGGTGACAAGAGGCAGCAGGATAGAGCAGGAGACAGACAACAGATGCAAGTGTAAGTCAAAAGAAACAATGTTTAGTCCAGACAGAACTATCTTGCTAGGCACACACTCTGGAAGCCATATAACCACTCAGTACCTCATTTAAAATGGAGTTTAAAATCCCCTCAATTACCTATTTCACAAGAGGCTGGGAGACTTAAAAAAATAATTTCATTTGTCTGTGCAATATCTGCTCCCACAACCAAAGATAAGTACTGCCAGTTGCTTCTTTTCATCACTGGAGCCAAAACAAGAATGTCAAAATTATCTACTTCACAATTCTGAGCAGTAGACAAAATTGCAGGCATACTAAAATTAAATGGGAAAAGTACCAACAAATGACAGACAAGTTAATATAAGTCTTGCTTAAAGCTATATTGAGAATGCTGCCTTACAGTCATCTCAGGACAAATTTCTCTCTCTAGATGGGTTGGGTCTAGATCTCCTTTAGTTTCCTGAAGCCTGGAAGAATATAGTGATTTTTATTTAACAGTATATTTAGGAGGAGAATGGACAAAATATGAGATGAAATTATACATTTCATTAGGAATTTCTCTGAGACAATGAAAGCCACAGAAGTAATGCCAAACATTAAGAAGGTAAAGACAAGGGGAAGGCTCAGGTTTTAGAGCCATAAAGACCCAAGTTCAATCCTGGCTCTGCCACTAACTGGGAAAGTCAGCCTTTTCAATCTTAAATTTTCCACCTGCTAAATAAGAGATAATGCTATTTGCTTCCCAGGGATGCTCTGAGAATTAAGGAAAGTAATGCATGTAAAGTATTTGGCACATAAAAAAATGCTTAACAAATAAGTAGAGGGTGTTGATGGTTCAGTGGTAAAATTTTCACTCTCCATATAGGAGTCACAAGTTTCCAGGTTCAATTTCCAGCCAATGCACCTAAGTGCAGCCACCACTCATCTTCTAGTGAAGGCCTGTGAATTGCTACAATGCTGAACAGGTTTCAGTAAAGCTTACAGACAAAGACAGAGTAGGAACAAAAGCCTGAATCTACTTCCAAAATCAGCCAATAGCAAGCAGCTCTGGTGGCGTAGCGTCTAATGTTACGCAGATAAACACAAAAATGAGCCAATGGAAACTCTATAAGTCACAGTGGCCTGATTATGTTGTGTATGACACTGCAGTGAGTTGGCAGTTGACTTCATAGCCGCTAAGAACAAATAAATAATAGTACCATTAAAAAAAGGAAATATCAGTATATACTCCCGTTCAATCCTAGATCCTTAACCTTCCCTACACAGTAGTTTTCAACTAGAGGATGCATGGCAATGTTTAAAGACTTATTTGGTTCCACAACTAATGGGGTGTTACTAGCATCTAGAGAGTTGAGGCCAAGGATGATGCTAGATAACTTCTTTTTTTTCTCCTCGATAACTTTGAATGTACAAGATAGTTTCATATGACAAAGAGTTTCCAACTTTCAACAGTGCTAAGGTCAAGAAAGCATATTTGACAGCAAGCATTCCTTGGCATTCAATCTTTGGTATTTCACCTTTCTTAGTCTTAGTTTCCTCATCAGGAAATATATTTATCTATGTTCCTTACCTTAACAGGCTTTGGGAGATCAAATGAAACAATGGATGAGAAGCATTATCATTATTACACCTTTCATAATGCATGCTAAAGCTCACACTTGCAGAAAAAGACAGAATTCACATACTGGGACGGGAGGGAGACAAGACATATGGAGTGGAATTCTCACCATCTAAAGTGGTCCTCTTACCAATCTACCTCTACACAGCATGACTGAACAGAGGAGAACTTGTATATGGTGATGGGACAGGACACCTCTCAGGAGAAAGAGAAGAAAGAATGGGATGTGGGAAATGGGTAGGAATAACATAGGCATATTAAAGAGTTGCTGACAGATCCAGGCAAATAACAACACACCCAAAACATCATGATGACCTCAGAGAGAAGAACTTGTTTATTAATTAACTGCCTTTTCATGGTCACATCTACTGAATCTTCTTTTCTATGAGACATTCATTCAGTCAATTCTTTCCATTCTTTGATTCCTCTTAATGGAATTTTGTGGATTTCCAGGGTTTAGGAAGGATCTTCTTTTTTGCACCTTAGTTCTCAAACATCATTAGCTCCAGAGTTTCTAACTTTGGTTAATCATAATCACTTATGGTACTGTCTCAATCTTGAAAGTTTTTAAAAAATTTCAACTATATTTCAGAACAATTCCATCAGAGTCTTTCGAGACAGGACCTAGGTATTAGTACTTTTTAAAGCTCCTCAGCTAAACTGCAAATATGTGTGTGTGCGCACACGTTTTTAATTTTCTTAGGCTCCAACTTTGGAGATTCTGATTTAGTTTGTCTGAATGGGACCCAGGAGTCTGTATTTTTAAACAACTTTCCACCTGATTCCAGTGATCAGCCTGATTCAGAACAGGCCATTGCTTTTCTAAAGCTCAATTCTCTCCAGTCTTATTCATTTCTGTTGCTACAGATAAACTTCTGTGATGCAGATTTTACTCCTTTTGCTCTTCATGGTACATCATTTTTGAGGCTGCACATTACATACATAAAAGGATATTATAAGAAGGAGAGAGAGTATTCTGAAAACAAGAGAACAGAAATCAAATGGGAGTAAAAAAGTGTTGAGCCTATCAGGGGGGATCAGAGTAAGAAATCCGGTGAAGATAAAAAGATGGAAGAGGGGTAGGACATGAAGAAAAGAGGTCACAGGGATGAAAATGAGACTGGCAGCGTTAAATAACAATAAAGGATGCAGTAAGTCAGTGGCCCCAGAGACATAGTTGGAAGACTTTGCTTTGGGCACACACACACACAAATACTAGAAAATAGCATGGTATGGTATAGTTCTCAAATCCCAATCTCATCCACATTTCCCCTTACTCCCCTTCAACATGCCCTCCAAGATGCCAAAGACTCATACATATTAAATACAAGTAGTTTGTGTTGTATTTTTTTTAATGGGACAATTTCAAAAAACAAAAAGGAATTAAGATTCATTTACTGAAAGAGAGGAAAAGAAGAGACAGAAATCATTGTGAGCTTTTGCATAAATCATCTCTCAACACCGTTTACTTGTTGGGTCTAGTGGCTGTCCCCTGTGCTACTCACTGTGTAATCCTCTAACATGAATGTTAAAAATGAGGTATATTAATGGCATCCCGGAAATCTTGATTAAAGTCATGGTGTTGACAGAAAGGTCACATCACAGTCAGGACAAGCTTAAGGAGAATGTTGTAGATGGTGTGCATCACCAGTCATGGATGTTAACGTATAGGATCTGAAAGTCAAGGTACCTAGATGCTTTTGTCAAACCCTAACCTCATTATTTTAAGGCTTAAATTTTCTATATGATTTCCCCCTAAATATCTCCAACAAGAAAATCTCAAGGATAACTTGACTAAATTTGGCCTATGGAAATAAAACTAGAAAGAAAAGGACGGGAAGATAAAAAGAGCAGTGAAAAAATATACCTGAAGAAGAAGCAGACTTTTACGGAATGCCAGGCTAAGTACGCTCAGAGCTACTACCCAGTAATACAGAAAATGAGCTAATCTTCAAAGAAAAGACTTACATACATTTTATTTAAAAAGAGTGGTCTTTACCTTATCATTTAGAAGTGGTTTGATCTCTGTGAGTTGAACATCCTGAAGTTCATCCATGAGGATAGATGAGAGTGGAGGATTCTCAAGAATAGATTAATAACTCTGAAACAGAAGAAAAAGGATTAGCCCAGGAGTTGTAAATCTAACAGTCACATCACATTGATTCACTCAGTATATTAGCACTAATTTTATGTCACAGAAGCCCTGGTAGTATAGTTTGTATTATGCTAATGGAAAGGTTGGTGTTTCAAATCCACTAGGCATTACATGAGAGAAAGAGGAGCAATCTCCTCCTACAGAGATTTACAGTCTTGAAATTAAATGGAGGATCACTATGACTTGGATCGACTTGACGGCAGTAGGTTTTAGATTTTTATAGTATGTCAAGCATGTCTCAGGGTACAAAACACAGACAGAAGTAGACTTCATGCATTCCCTTCAGAATTGGAGAAGCCGTCAAGGCTGCCCTTTATCACCTTCCTGTTCAGTATTGCAATAGAAGTCCAAGGCAGAGAATAAGGCTAGAAAAGGAAACAAAACACATCCAAATAGGCAAAGAGAGAATAAAACTATCTCTATTTGCATATGACATGATCCTATACACAGAAAATACCAAAGATCTGTCAAAATAAAAAAATTACTAGGTCTAATTGACTGATTCAGCATACAAAAGTCAGTAGCATTCCTCTATAGTTAACAAAGAGATCTCAGAAAACAATGTCATTTATAATAAACACTCATTAAATATTTAGGAGGAAATCTAACTAGAGATGCAAAGAAAACTATAAAATACAATTATAAAAGGTGCATGGTTCAAATCCACCAGATGCTCCATTGGAGAAGGAGGGACAATCTCTTCTTGTGCCAGTTGGATTTGATTCGATGGTACACAAAAAGGAAAGAAAAAACACAACAAACCCACCCCAAAACTACTATAAGATACTCAAAGAGACTTATGTAAATGGAAAAGCATACTATGTTCATGGATTGCAAGACTTAACATTGTGAAAACTGCAATACTACCAAAGCAATCTACAGATACAATGTAATCGCCAAAATTCTTCCATTGTTTTTCAAAGAGATGGAAAGCATAATTATCAATTATAAACGGAAAGAAAAGAGACCTTGGATAAGCAAAAGAACACTTAAGAAGAAAAATAAAGTAGAAAGTCTAACACTTAATTGTGCTTATGTGAAACCTATACTTGGACCAGGAGGCTGTTGTCAGAACAAAAAACACGGAAACACTGCATGGTTCAAAATTGGGAAGGGTGTGCATCATGGATGTGTCCTATCTCCATATCTTTTCAATCTATATGCAGAACAGATTATCTAGGAGGCTGGGCTCTATGAGGAGAAGTGAGCATTGGGATCGGGAGGTACACTCATCAATAATCTGTGTTATGCAGATGACACAACATTGCTTGCTGAAACTGAGGAGGACCTGAAGCGCTTGCTGCAGAAGGTCAAGGACTGCAGTCTTCAATATGGATTGAAGCTCAACATCAAGCAAACAAAGATTCTCACCACTGGGTCAATTAGCAGCAGCATGATAAATGATGAAGAGATTGAGACTGTTGACAGCTTCAATTTGCTTGGCTCTGCAATTAACATCTTGGTACCAGCAGCCAGGAAATTAAAAGACTAATTGCATTGGGAAAATTTGCTGTCAGAGACCTCTCCAAAGTACTGAAGAGCAACGATGTCAGTCTGGAGACTAAGGTATGCCCAATACAGGCCATGGTCTTTGCCATTACTTGCTATCCATCAGAGAGTTGGACAATGACGAGGGATGATAAAAGGAGAGTTGATGCCTTTGAACTTTGGTGCTGGAGAAGAGTACTGAATATACCATGGACTTCTAGGAAAACAAACAAGTTTGTCCTGGAGAGGGTGAAGCCAGGCTGCTCCTTGGAGGCAAGGATTCTGAAGCTTCATCTGACATACTTTGGACATGTTCAAGGAGGGACCAGTCCTTGGAGAAGGCCGTCATGCTTTGGAGATTAGAGTGACGGTGCAGGAGAGGAAGACCCTTGATGAGATGGATTGATTCCATCACTGGGGTAATGGGGATAGGTGTGTCGGAGACAGTGAGATTGGCAAGGGACAGAGCAAGGTTTAGGGTTGTTATGCATAGGGTCGCTATGAGTCACAAGTGACACGACTGCACATAACAACAACAACCACACAGATAGGAAGCTCTGGTGGCTTAATGGTAAAAAATTGTGCTGCTAATACAAAGGTTTAGGTTTTCAAAGGCCTGTTTTTTTGGAAGTGGAAGGCCAATCCTTCTTCCTAGTAATCAAGAATCAAGTAATCAGGAAATCAAGAGACGTATTGCATTGGGAAAGTCAGCTGTGAGGGACCTCTCAAGAGTACTGAAGAGCAATGACATCAGGCTAGAGACTAAGGTGCACCTGATCCGGGCTATGGTCTTCGCAATTACGTGCTATGCATCAGAGAGTTGGACAGAAAGAGAATTGATGATGCCTTTGAGGTGTGGTGCTGGAGAAGAGTTTTGAATATACCATGAACTGCTAGGAGAACAAACAGGTTTGTCCTGGAGAAGGTGAAGCTGGAATGTTCCTTGAAGTCAAGGAATCTGAAGCTTCGTCTGACATACTTTGGGCATGTTGCCAGGAGCGACTGGTCCTTGGAGAGAGACATCATGTTTGGCAGAGTGGAGGGGCGGGGAAGAAAGAGAAGAAGACCTTCGATGAGATGGATCGATTCTGTGACTGGAGCAGTGAGAATAAGTGCGTTTGAGATGGCTAGGTTGGCACAGGATAGAACAGCGTTTAGAGCTCTTGTACATAGGGTCGCTATGAGTTGCAAATGACTCGACGGCACATAACAACAACAATGCAAAGGTACATGGTTTGAATCCACCAGATGATCAGCAGGAGGATGGGACCTCTCTTCCAATGCCATTTACTGCCACTGAAAATCTGCTTGAGAGTCAACCATTGGTCGATTCCGACTCAAAGGCACACAACAACCACAAAGACTGCCATTAACAACTGTACTAATTTGCATGCTCACCAGTAATTTCTTTTTTACTTTATTTTTACTTAATTACTTATTAGTTTCTTAGCCATCCTAGTGTAAGTCAAACAGTATTTCATCATGGTTTTGATTTGCATCTCTCTGGTGGCTAATGATTCTACAATCAACAACAACAAACAAAACAGTATACACTTCTTAAAACCTCTGGGTTAGACAAATTATAATGCACTTGGCTGTTACTAAAAGGCTGGTGTTCTCCAAAAACCAGTAACTGAAAAATTTTATATGGCACATAGTTCTAGTGTAATACACACAAGGTCATTATGAGGAAGAATTAGCTCAGTGATTTAGTTACTGGTTCACTTTAAAACATTTCAGAATTACAGAATAATGAAAAAATATCTTACTCTTTTCCTTCTATCTAGTTAACAGAGTTAACACTTAGGTCTATTTTTATTTTCTTTCCTTGTAAAATTCTGAATTCCTTAAATTGCTCAACCAATCCACTTTCTCTATTTTAATTTATTCACTTGAAAGTGGTGGCACTTCAAGATGTTAATTATTTAAATGGCCTCAGTGTGGGCAGGACTACCAAGAAACCTCAGGGCCCAGAAGAAAGCCTGAGGTGCCCTCACATCCAACGTGACTGGCATTCACCTAGTGTTCCATGAATTTTTAAAACAGGATGAAAAATGCAATGTTTGTGCCAGGAGAAACACTTAAACAAGGGCACAAATTAAATAAGAAGGCTGTCCCTATCAGCTGAGCCCAGTGTAGACTCAAAGCAAGAACGCTATGCAGAACAGTGAGCTGTTTCAGTGTGACTTAGAAATTGGCATCAAGACAGCGGACACTTACCTTCCACATATTAGAAGAGACCTAAAGCTTTCTTCCGGAGACTCAATTTTTCCTCAGATCTTATTGTCCCAACCCTTTGCCAATGAATAATTTTATAATACCTATAAGAACACCAAAGATCACATGGTGGAAAATTCCATCTACAGATCCCTCAGCTGCACAGAATGGCCCCCTCTTGGGGATTTAAAGCCTGCAGTTCCCTCATCTGCACAAATGATAAGGAGATTAAATTCCATTCTAGCACTAAATGCTATTAATATTTCCAAAAGGCTATACATTTATAACCTGAAGTAGCCAATAAAATGTTTACTCTCTTTCCTAGTCTTAAAGGGTACAGAAGTTATTAACAAGTAAAATTGAGCAAGTGAGTCTGGAATCAAAACAAGGAAAGAGAAAAAAAGCACCTGGAATTAGAATATAAACACTTTCTCTTTAATCCTTGATTTGTTTTGTGGTGCTTTTTTTTAATAGATGAGAAACAGTCATTTACTTAATAGGAAAAGAATTTTTAAATCTTTGCTTTTCTCACTATACTATAAGGCCTGCACCAGGCTTCATCTGCTTTCTGTAGGTCTTTGAGCAAGTTCCTTTCTTTCTATCCATATTGTTGTACCTGCCTTCTTGAGGAAGAAAGGAATAGAAAAGTCCTACACTACCAATGTCCGAGACATTTTAGAAATGGTGATTTGAGTCACTATACCAAATCTTTTATCTAACTAGTTTGCTGAGGAAAAGGAGAATATGAATAAGTAGGGAAAAGAGAAATAAAATTCCAGACACTGTCTGTTGTCAGTTTCAGAAACGAAGACTTGCTTATTAAAACAGTACATTTTAAAACAAATCCTCAAGACATAATGATTTTGTTTAGGATCTTAGATGTGATCAATTCTGTCTATGTGAAAGAGTATTAGCAAAATTTCTAGAGATCATGAAAATTAAATCACTGGATATCATCAAGTAAATTCTGACTCACAGCACCTATATAACAACTGTCTCATGGGTTTCATTTCTTTCTCTTTCATTACACTTGGGTGAAAGTTTATATAGAATATACTAGCTTGATAGTAAACAATTTCTACATATTTTGATTCACAAAACTGGTTGCAAACCCCCAACCATCATTCTGTCCTCTTCTTTCCTTTGTTCCTCAGTTTCACTTGACCTTCATGTTCTTTCTTGCACTTCAGCTTTTGTTTTCAGAAAACGCTGCCCTTTTAGTCTATATGTGTTTGTATTCA